ATCCACAACAAGGTGGTTATCCACAACAACAATATCCAGGTTATCCTCCACAACAAGGATATGGAGCATATCCAGGCTATCCACAACAGGGTACTCAAGGTCAACAACCAGGCTACCCACAACAAGGATATGGAGCATATCCAGGCTATCCACAACAACCACCAAAATAATTCAGAAAAATTTTAAGCATACTTTGTTTTTTTTATTACCTTTCATTAATTAATATTCTTGTCTTTGGTATTGTTCAACTTTGGAATAGTTTGTGAAGTTTTATAGATTTATGGAATGATATAAAAGGTTAAGTTTCAATAAGTACCAAAAAACTAGTAAAACTGAATTAGAAAATGATGTATTATAAATAATATATGTTGGTTATGAGAAAAATATTATCAATTTAAATTGTTAGTTATCTATAACGTGCTTTATTTAAATATCACATTTAATTTTTTTTGTTAATACAAAATCTTTGTAAATAACTTATTTTATTATAAGTATTTGTGAAACAACATTCTATTAACCTTATTTGATTTAAATTTAATGTTTCATTTCTAGTTATTTCAATTTATAAACATTATCAAGTAAAATGCTGAATAAATTCAAGTACTACTCGTTTATTTTATTTGTTATTTAATTTTGTTAATTGTAGATTTATTAATTATTCAATTATAAATAGAAATGAATTATTAATAATAATTTAAATTGTTATTTGTTTAAATTATCGCCTCTATATCATTCACTCACTTACTCTAGTTCATAGCCAAATTAATTTAATTATTCAATTAATTAGCGATAGTCATTGAATTTTCACTTCAATATCTCATTTTTAAATCTATCCTATCTTGTTTTTGTTATTAAAAATTATTATAACTACATTAACTCAATACCAATTATTTGTAATAATTTATTTCTTATTTATTCTCTTTTATTTAATACCTATTATCTATTTTCTTTTACTTTTAGTATGGCATGTTTATAATAATATGGTTTCAATTAAACATTCTTTGGATGGAAATGAGAATGTCTTTCATCCAAATTGTGTTTTTTATTATTTATTCTATTATTCTTTACTAATTGCACTTCAATTGTATTTTTAATACTTATAGTCAAAATTTTTAATATTCAACTAAATAATGTAATCGTATTCTGTAGTTTTCATGACTTAAACAATCTCTTCTTCATATATTAATGTAGTCCATCGTTTTAGTATTTAATTTTTATATTTAGTGGAGAATTAGATAAAGTTTGTATTAAACGAATGAAATAATA